GACTGGGAGTGATGCACGTACCGCATGGCCTTCTGGGACAACGTCACTGCGTCACACAGCAGAAACTGATGACGTCACAGGATGATGTTATCGCAAGTATCGTTCCCAGGGGCACATGTGCGCAGCAGCTGTACATCACAGATTTCCGTCCGAAAGGTCTCGCCAATTTCTCTTGTCTTTATCACTTTTCTATTTCCTGCTTAACTGATAACCTTTTACGTCATAGAGGTGTTGCTTTTGTAAATGAAACGACTAGAAACGAAGGGCATGCGTGGTTGTGGCATTTGTGCGTGTGTCTTCGATGGAGGAAAATGAAACACACGATATATTATCATATATATAACATCTGTGTCCATAATATCACCAAGGTCCTTAATATCGCCACCTTGAGGAATAGTGTGCTTTAAGATATCTTTACTGCAACATACTTTTGGTATGCACTCCTGCACACCTCAAATGTACATACCTAGCGTATGTTGCAGTAAAATGTATTTAAGCACACTTTTTCTCAAAGTGGCGATATTATGGACTATGGTGATATTATGGACACAGATGTTATATGCAAGCACGAAGAATACACAACATTTAGCAGTAGAGGTAGACGAATGAATCAAAAATCAAACATTGAACTAGTAGGAAGCATTGAACTAGTAGGTAGCTGAAATGTATTATTCACATTCTGTCCTACACACAGACGACAACGACATTTGAACATGATATCATTCATCAGACTAAATAAAAGAACATATATAGAAGGTCATATTGTACTGTCATTGATCATGCCATCTATTGTGAAAAATCATAATAAAAATCATAATAAACAAATAAATATTGTACACCCAGTGCAAGTAGTAAAATACAGAATTTCTTTATCAGAAAATAGTTTGTCTCAGTAGTATACTTTAAGCAGATAAGTTTGCAAATAAGGATGGGACATTGGAGTCTATGAACACTATAAAACACGAACGTAGTGAGCTGTATCTCCCTGGGCCACGTTTTATGCATCGAAGTGCGAGCTGAAGTAGGGAAACTAACGGTCTGGTCTGGTGTATATATCTGCATCCATCCATCTGGCTTAGCGGTGACCTCAAGTGGATTTCCATGGGTTGATAGCTACACCTTCGGCAGATCCATCAGTCAGCGACATCCCCCGACTCATTTCTCATGGACACGGCTGTTCCCTCCATCCGGCATACCCCCTCCGTGGTCACGATTTCCATTACCTCATTTCCTCTTCAATAACCGCATCTTTACAGTAGAATATCTACATCACCAATAACTGATATCACGTTTTATTTCATGGTCGGATTATTATGTATAAACAGAAATGCATGTATCATTGTTGCGAATGAAAATCCAATACTTGTCCTGAGCGTGGTATTTCCGAGTTATCGACTTTGTGGCAGTTGGTATTGTGACGTATGGCCACATGTAGGCATCGGAGGAAACGGACGTCGTTTTCTGTGATATATGTGCGTCCTCAATCACTTTGTACGATTCGCAAGAAGAATCAAAGAGGAACTTTGTTTAGTTGCTGTGGATTTCAAAATGTGATGTAATGTGTGCCCTAGTAAAGTTGAACACAGACAGGACCCACCTAGTGTAGTAAGAGTGGTTGGGTAATCAAAAGATGTCTCCGCGGATACTGTTAATATAGCGTACGTACTAGACATCTTCATATTCCCTCTTATACTATATATAGATTCATGAATGATTAGAGATAGACATACTACGTTAGTGCCTGCAGAAAACGAGATAATCACTTATGAGCAGAACGGTCTCATATCTCCAGATTTTATGCATATGGACATCGATACCTTTGGTTTTATTTCTGTACATAGCCATACCATACCAGTGTAACCTAGCTCATTTGCTGCTATTTTCCTTATATTAAAATCATCTAGTACTCACATATTTTTCAGAGTTGAGATGATTTGGAAAATATAATCCTCGTTCTTCAACTTTTCCACGTACAACACTAACCATGAGAATGGCCGTACCCGTCGCACAGAATTCATGCAGTCCGTAGACTCACATCGGCCTAACAAAGAATCCATCCAACTAAAACAACTTCTAAAGTTCAGAGGATCATGTAGTAGCGGCTCTCTTTTAAAGCATAGCCCTGGAAAATCTCTTTGCAACACGGAATTATTCACACTCCTTTGCCGTATCCTGCTCAAAGGAGCCAAAGGCAAAGAATAGAGGAATTCAAAGGGTTCCTTACAAAGGAAGGGGTTGAATAGATCGACTGTTTAGTATCGAGCCAATTTGTACTCGACATAATTGAGTTTGCTGCTATTGGAGTGGACGGATTTACAGAGCCGACATCTATTAAAGCCGGAAATGAAAGGAATAAGCTATTAGATGGGATTGATTGTGTTCAGACTGTGGAGGCAGATGTCGTAGTCTACTTTAGACTTTTCGTTTGGCCTGGATGGGCCGGGTCGTGCATGGTAATTGTAGTTATGGCCACTGTTACGGTGACTGTTCTTACATGTTTTGCAGCGGTTACTTGACACAATTTGTGTTTACATACAGATTCACAGCATGTATGTTTTTATTTATGCATGGTACAAATTATGAGATAACTTGTGAGTAAATGAATATAAGTTAGGTGACTGTTCTTAGTCAACGTACATGTATGCAGTGGTTACTTGACACAATTTGTGTTTTGCATACATACTCACAGCATGTATGTTTTATATCATGCATGTTACAAATTATGAGATTGAGCTTGTAAGTAAATATACATGAGTAGGGCGATTCATAGCTTGTTCCTAATATAGTTCTGATAGTCAGTATAGTACTAGTAAATCGTGATGGCTGGGGGGGGGGGGGTCAGAGCAAGGGCATCACACAGAAAACTATGGATAACCCACTGTCTTTCAGCAGACAAAATAATGAAGCTGTGAAGATTAAGAAGTAATTGTGAATGCATATGTGATTTATCCCCTATAATCCTATTTCTTAGCCAGCAAATTGTATATATATTAATTTTTATTGAGAATGTCAGACAGAACATTACATAGTCGCGCCAGACAGCTGTACTCGATAGTGGATGGCAACATCAGAAAATGGTGCTAACTACTAGTAATCTGCATTCGCAGACCTTTCTCTCCTGTGCAATCTCCAAGCGATAATTTAATACTACTCCTCTACATTTTAACCATAAGACTTGCATTCAGACTAAAGGTCTCTCTAAAACATGTGGGAGAAGCGAATAGTAACATTTCTCCGCCCACTGTTAGAACTGAAATTGCCTTTTCCTGTTCTCTTTTAAACGGCAATTTCTGGAATACGGTAAAAATCGGTCCTGAGTTGACTTTCTAATTGTTTCGTCCTTGAGCCGGCAGTGCCATAACTTAGGTAATTGTTTCCCCAATAATTGCGTTGCGCAATTGATTTTCGTGACTCCTGTTGAAAAGACGTAAAGCCGGACAGGCCTAAGGTACACCCGGGCACAGATGGTGGTCTGACGGCGGATCGGAATCAATGAAAAATCAGCCACTCTCCACCGGAATACAGTACTGTACGTGCCAACAGATGGGCTTGATCTGATTCCCATCAGTTGTGAAAAAGTGGGAGGGGAGCACGTAGTATATCTAATCTGTAGCTCAATGTATTTTGACATATGAAGCGTGTGTCAGAATACCAAACGCAACTGCAGATTGAAACCGTTTGGAAGATTTTGAGTTACATGGTTATCCATAGGAAAACTGCGTCATGCACCAGCTTACAAGGACCTGCAGTTCAAGTTATTTCCGCTACATGTCGCACATGACTAATAGAAATTCGGGGCTGGTTACCTTCGCCAAGAAGGTTATGTTTTCGTAGGCGTTCGTGTGTCTGTGTGTGTGTGTGTGTGTGTGTGTGTGTGTGTGTGTGTGTGTGTATGTCAGCACGATAACTCAAGAAGGCTAAAATGGATTGTCTTGATATTTGGTAGGTGGATAGGTTTTCATGAGACGTGGAACTGATTAAATTTTGGGCCCCCTAGTGGCTTGTTATGGTACTGCAGCTGAACTTCCGGTTTTGATATCTCGTGATCTAGACATGCTAGGGTGACGAAATTTGGATGGTAGGTAGCTCTTGTGCTGGGGAAGAAGTGATGTGAGTTTGGCCTCCCTAGCGGATTGCTCTGGAACTGCAGGGGCGTTAGTTGAAAAATATTTAAAGGCGGATAACTCTAGAACCGATTGATGGATCGTCGTGATTTTTGGCATGTAGGTAGCTGAAGTGATGCTTAACATAATAATATTATGATTATGCATATATCAATGTAATTTGCATAATTAATTAGGAAATTCTATAAATCAGCTGCATTCCATGATAGGACTATTCAAGCTTGTGACATATGTCATTAAGAACGGCAGAAATACAGGCAGATATCGATTATGCAAATGAAGACTTAATTTGCATAATTAATGAGAAAATGTTATATTTACATAGTGGTAACTGCCTGGAATTTCATACTTGGGATATTTGAGAGTTATGTGAAGGTGAACATAATTAAACATAACTTATTCAAATAAGGACCTCATTTGCATAATTTATAAGGAAATGCTATAATGGCATTCTTTGATAAGATAAGACTGTCTTCTGGTGTAGAATATGATCATCAGATATAATTAATGCAAATATAGGATCCTATTTGCACAATCAGGGGGATTAATCTATAATTTCTTACTCATAAAGGCTAACACCATTTGGCGGAGGTATGAGATCGTGGAACTCTAGTTTATTTATTTATTTATTGGTTCGGCTGGTTAGTCGGTTTAGGACACTAATTGCCCCTATATCTAGTAATATTTCTACACTAACAAATTTTCTAATGCGGGAATAATCCCCTATGTTCAGTCATTTGGGTGAATTTACCTCTAAGTGATAAGGGACGCGTATTCAATAATATTTCAAACACTGAATTACCAACATGCACCGCAAGGTGGCGCTGATAGACTCCTCTGGAACGAGACAGTCATGCAATACAAACAGGAAAACAATATCTTTATTATTTCCCTTCATCTGTACAAGTTTGTCTAAAATAATCTTGAAGCCATACATTTGTATCATTTGTTCCTTTTGGCCCAATAGATTTCCTTTGTTACGTATTAAACTAAAGACACAACCACACGGGTTAAGATAAACATGACATTACAAATAAAATTCCACTTAAAAGTAAAATTCCACTTAAATTCTAATAATAAGCCCCTCTTACTGCTTCTCACGACAACAGATACATAACTCTCACTCAATATCATACCAAAGTTACCGTTAAAACACATTATCACAGCACATCCAACGTCATGACATAACCACGCACCTTAAATTTAAGAATACACAATTCAGGAACAATGTATGTTCACATGGAACCTGTTCATCACTATAGCATCAAGAATTCCAACATTTTAATTTTTTTGTTAAAACAAAACACCAACTACAACAGCTGGTATCTTGTGTGTACTTTGGCAAGCATTATTCTGTGAATCCGAATATAAAAAAAACTAATATAATCCTGTCGTGAACTAAAATTCATAGCTTTCAAACCTTTGGATTTTAAACGGTAAACCTATAGACTTTGTACTGTGAAGGTCCAAATTTTTGGTCAACATTACTAAAAAATATGGTAAGTCTTGAAAAACCAAAAAATTTGCTAGAACTTGTAGTTGATTGCTTTTCTCTTTTCTTTGCCCTTTTTTCCTTTGGCTTTCTTCTTTGATGCATTACTCTGTCCTGTAATAGAAAGGAACAAAGAACGTTTGAATCATGGTTGGTTGTGCAGTTTTATGATATTTGTGTTAGTACTGTACCTGAGTGGTTGGTTCATTACCTGTTAGGGAACAGCAAGTGTAATAATATAATTACAGCACATCCATGTCATGTCATAACCACGCACCTTAAATTTAAGAATGCACGTTCAAGAACAATTTACTCTGATATATTAAAGTATATAAAATATGCGGATGATGTAGCAATGTAATGACAATGTGAAGAACAAGGTTAGCGAACACTGAATTGCATTGCAGCACAACTATTGCTAATTGTTATCTGCATTGCCATTGCTTTGTTATGTGTACATTTTATTGCGTCACGTATTGCATCTTGGCACTACGAATTCAGCTGTCATACAGTATCGTTGCGTAACATTGCACAATTATCCTATGAACTGCATAAATTTATTGCACCACAGCTTGCACATCCTGAGTTGCAGAACAGCCCAATGCATCCATATGCATGCACACTGTAATGCATATGTCATAAGTTGCACGAAGAGTTGCACGTTCATGCAGCATAAGCCAGCCAGCACCACCAGACGCACACCGAACCCTGCAGTACCCACACAGCTCACCTGACGCCGCTGCTGAGTCACTTGCAGCCCTCAAGCGGTCTTTCAAGGACATACTCCTTTCGCCATCTGCCATTGAAAAACAACCTTTTACCCAAACCCATGCAAGCACTCCCTTACACACCCAAACGGATTGCTCCATTCTGCTAGAATATTTTTTGTTGCCTAATGGACAATCTGTGTTTTTAGTAGCACAAGATATGCCCTGTTTTATGATGAGGAGAGCCAAATTTTATTCCAACAGTAAATTCTGGTTTTTGACAGATCCTTCGACCGAATTAGCCTCTACCAGGCTTCAGAGGCTCCTGGAAAGAGTAGAAATTTGCCAAATAGACAAATAACATGCCAGAGGTGTTAGTCCACTAGGGGAGTACAGTTGGTGAATTTCTACTCTTTCCAGTCGCCCCTGAAGCCTGGTCGAGGCTATAGAAAAATGCTACTGAATTCTCTGCTAATTCTTTTCAGCAGAAATGAAGCAATCCATTCAAGCTTGTACAAAAATAGGAAAGAAAGGCGCATTACCTTCCTGGCAAGCAGTACCGATCGTCAAATTGATTCTGGATTTAAAGGACATGTTATGCACACTGCTCGGATCTGCGTGGAAAAAACAAATTAGGATCCACATCACAGCAGGGGTAGTCCGGAATTGCTTTTTTTTTTAAACAGTATTTTTTCGTGTATGGTGAACAAATACGTTATTGGGGTGGGGGTGGGGGTGATTTAGGGTTGCAGTTTGCCAGAAGTGTGCGGTAGACGATGTGAAACTTGTAAGAGTAACTTAAGAAGAAAAATCATGTTTACATGCAGTAATATCAATTGGAATTGTATTCTATATGGCGTATACATAAGCATCTCTGCCATGCACTGATAGATATCTGTGGTCTGATTAAATATTGTGTTTATAACTTGCGCATTATTTCATAAGGAAGACATTACTTACCCTCCCCCGCCTCGTCCGCGTTTCTCGGCGCCCTTGAGTGGTGATCTGAATGACTGTTCTTATTCCCCATCCTGTTTTAGTGTTGGTTTCCTCCTCTACTCACAGTTCCTGTGTTAATGATATAGATGGGGCAAACACATTGCTATATTTTTCCATGCAAAATTCATGACCCTAGCATGTTCATGAGATTCAAAAACCGGAAGTTCTGCAGCAGTACCAAGAAAATCCGCCAGGGGCCCCGAAATCTAATCATCAAGACCTACCCACCTACCAAGTTTCCAAGTTTCATGACAATCCATCCATTCACACGCACACACACACACACACACACACACACACACACACACACACACACACACACACACATACAGAAACATAAACAGAAACACACACACACACAAACACACACACACATACACACACACACAGACACACATACATACAGAAACAGAAACACACACACACACAGACACACATACATACAGAAACACACACACACACACAAACACACACACACACACACTCACACACACTTACACACAAACGCTACGGAAAACATAACCTTCTTGGCGAAGATACAATGCCCTTTAAACTTACGTAACATACCGGCGAAGTTAACAATGCCCTGTAAACTTATGTAACATACCGGCGTATTCTGACCTATTGCAATCCTGTTGACGATAACAGAGCAATATCTTCTACCTATACGTCATTCGGAATTTATCTATACTAGGTATACTCCACCATTGCACCAATAGTGTCATTCAAGTGCTTGCGAGACGTGGTAAACGTCTAAAAAGTTCCACAGCTGTGTTTACTTTGCACTTGAACCGCAAACCCGGGAGGTATGCAACAAGTTCATCAGAAGCTCCTTTGAATATGAATATTGCCAGCGAGGAGTCTTTTATCACCCCAAGTTGTTAATTTTTTTAGTTTCTTCGAAGGAAAGGAAAGTTCGATTACACAAACAAATCAAACAAACAAGAAACATTGAAAGACTAGATAAACACAGACAAAACAAGTACTGACAATAACATCTATATTGTTAAGACACCCATCACTTGCGCTAAAGAAAAGCTACTGCCGTGAAGGTATTCGTTGTTCTTTGTCACGAAAATGCAACGGTCTACTGAATACATGTACAAGACAAGAATACGACGTTGTTAAAATAGAAAAGGCATTATTTCAAACGGAACATGCTCTAGATACCGCACAATTGGGGATTTCTTTCTTTCTTTCTTCTTCATTGGCTTTTGTTCTTGTTGATGCTCTATTTGGAACATGATATGTTGAGGCTTAGGCTCTGGGGCTTAGGCATAGGAATACCACAAGCCAGTACGTGGATCTGTTGTGGTTAACGAGCCTACGACCTAGTAAATACTGAGTGCCTGTTGATCGCCTTTGCCTGTGGCTGTTGACGAGGCTAACTATCAGAATCAGAGCAGCCATACTGGGCAGGATAAAATGCTATACATATGTATATCTACATGATCATTGAAGTAGTCGAAACATCTTCATAAATGCCCACAGAATATGCACGGAAGGCCAAGGACTTGTAGAGAAAATTTATATCATGTTATCCCAGGGGCACAATACAAGATGTACAACAACTCGTAATGCCGTCTGATCGGCAGAATTATTGATAAAGAACACTGAGCGACCTGCCATGTTGGAAGCCATATTACTCTTAGTCACTTTTCTAGATTAAACCTACAGGGAGGCTGTGTATAGAGTATACCATGACGACGTTTTTTTTGTTCATTGTAACAGACATACCGATGAATAAAAACACTGCACTGTTCTATTTCTTGTTTGTTTTGTTATGGTAGTCGTGAATGTAGAATGTAGAAAAAAGGACTAGATGGGTTGAGGTTTTCTCTGAACAAACGAAATTCAATCTGGAAATTCACACAAATTTGATTTCGTTTTGCTGCAATGCTGTACTTTATGCGTGTAATTACCTCCGGGGGAGGAGACATCCTTCCGCGGAAGGGTTTTGTGAGAGATTTAGATTTTTATGTTCGCAGCTGTTTCTCGCGTTTGGGTCGACGGATTCTTTTGAGACTCGGTACATGTTTTGCTATTGGGCTGCAGATGATGCACGTTCTTTTTTTTATTGTATATGTGTTTTAGGGCGTGAAAATGGTACCTTTTGGTGGCCCCAAAACACCCCTTTTAACGTGAAAGTGGTCGCGACCGTTGACCTTTGGCGTGTTTAAGCTATTCTCGGTCTGGTCCACGTATATGACCCCTCACACAGAGGGGTGTTTTTTGTTTAAAATCCTATATAAAAATATACAATAAAAAGCCCGGAGGTATAAAATCTCAGATTTTACTTGTTTACTTTAAAATGTATGTAAGAAAGATCTCCTATAATCACGGTCAGTCCGTTTTCCCTGTTTAATGTTTCCATTGTTTCCAAATTGACCCCAACAGACATTCTGGAAAAACAGGCCCTAAAAATACTACCGTTAATTAGTCGGAATTCAAGATTCGGGAGATGCCATTGTAGGGTCAAAGGTCATTTGGAGCACCTGACGTAAAGATGCAATACAAAACCAAGGACGTTGTTTAAAGTCTTTGGCAAAGCCTGGTGATTTGACATACATTTCGTGATGAGCCGGTTAAGGTAACGCTTGGTACACGAGACCGTCCTTGTCCTTAGGCTTATGCAGACCTAAGTTGGTGACAGGTGTCTTCCACTCAGGACAGATTACGCATTTTTCTTTGACAGGCGTTGAGAAGAATACGCCCTCTAAAACAACACCCAACACAAGCAAAGATCAAGCTAAGTCTCTGTATATGAAACCACTGTCCACTATCGCAACGAATGATCTATGTACAACCACCACGGCACCCCTCCCCACCAAGCTATACCGTATACCACAATTGGCACTGGAACAAACATTTATTACACCATGGAGCAAGTTATAGCAAATGACACGCCATGTCATCGACTTTATGCGAAGAGTCAATGTGTTACTTCCCTACCAGAAGCGAGATCACTGGTTAGGATACGAGGAAAGTAAACAAAACTATAACTACATTGGAAGAATCCTGCGACGAAGACATGTGTGTTTACTACAACACAGACCACGATTGAGATTTTTGTAAGATCACTCACCTCCTGTAGCTCAAAACTTCGCTCTGTTCTACCTGTTAGAGTCAAACGTTTTAGAAGACATTCCCAGGTCCCTCCGTACAAGTGTTAGACTGTTATCCCAGGGGGAAACAGGTTGGACACGCTGGATGGTGGGTAGAACTGTACTGTGACCTGAACGACAACCCGTCCTGACACGGAATGGAAGCTAGTCTTTCAACTTCGCTGACTTCGGTTCGCGGTCTGCCGGCTCAAAATGGTGAGGCTATTCTGGGGGTATTTGGTCGCACCTGTTATCTCTGTTTATAAAAAGGTTGACTTTAATGATGTTTTAAGAGATAACTCGGTTGAAAAATTACATACAGAAAGATAAAATGACATACCCTATGAACATTATGGTGATTTAAAATGTGGTCTGTTTGTGTTCTACACAAATTGCAAGTAAACTGAACACTGCCTGAGGGAAGGCACAAAATAGCCCTTAATTATTATCGGTCTTAAATTCGAAGTAATGTGGGAGAAAGTGTCTGATTGAAGTCCTAACAACTAAACTATCATTGAAGTCCTAACACCTAGAACCACCTGTGACTACAGCATGCTTTGTGTACGTGTTCTTATTTCGCTGATCGTGATTATTGGTAATACGAGTTAACCCGCATGTCGTGACTTCGTCACAGACATTTCTAAACAGGTATTTTTTGCCCGACTATTTTTTTTCTAGATAAGAGGGTAATCACCAGAACACATAAGGGACGGGTAGTTTGACACTTTACAGGTGCTGGGGAGGGTACATTTCTGTCTGCACGCGGCAAAACACACAGTAGATCTGTACGGATTAACTACATAGTACCAGCCTCATTAATGATTATGGGACGGTCCCATACTGGTGAACACCAACGACTATGTGGGCGGGCCTTAGACTAACCAGGGCGACACTCACCGCACGTGCATACCGAAGACTATGCAAAAGTCATGCATGCTGCAGCTTACACTGGATTAAATTTTCCTTCCAACATCTTTGTTCTTTATTACGTTGTGTTACATTCGTATTATAATCTGCATTTCCTTTATAGTGGGTCGTTTTAATTAATCTATCCTCTCATTATGTGTAAGTGATAGCGTTAAAATAAGTCTTAGCTACTTGAGTGCGTTACCACTATCTTCCTAAATGTGTGAACAATAAAAAAATTTCTACGCACACACGCATGGACCTACGCACACTAATAAACCATATAAATGTTTTCTCTGTTCAGTCTATGTGTCAACATACCATCGCATCTGATGATATCCTATATTATATCCGGTCGACGAACCTCTAGTATGTAACCTACCGTATAGAATGTGTTATGGATTGATTGAGCTGCAACAATATGAAAAGCACGATCCGCACTCGTAACGTTCCGTGTGGTGTGTGATACTGGGCGGGCACTTATGTGATTACAGTTCTCTGCAAGCGTGACTATAGGGATCGTTCTGTATGTTCTATATAGGACATAAAAATGAAAAGTGAAGGATCGTCTTTAAATGAAGAATGTTATGATACAAACAACTGGATACACCAAAATACGGGAGTATGACCATTTATCAAGCTTTCTTTTCAATAGAATGGAAAAATATACCACCTAGGGGGCCACCGCATAAGAGCATTGGCTTCTATCGCTATCGCATCAATGTATCACTTTCTGTTTCATGAAATGCCCGCCCCCACCACCAACGCTCACCATCAATGGATCCCCCCTTGAAGTTGTGCCACTCACCTGTCTTCTGGGGGTGTGGCTGCAGAGAGACTTGAAATGGGAGACACAGGTTAACAAAATGATCGGAAAGGCTAACGGTCGACTCTTCTTCCTACGGAAACTCAAACACTTCAATCTTCCCACCGGTGACCTCGTCACTATATACACGTCCTTTGTACGGCCAGTATTGGAATACTGCGCGCCAGTTTGGCACCCGGGGCTCACTTGTGCACAGTCGGACAAACTCGAAGCTGTACAACGGAGAGCAGTTCGGACAATACTGGGAAGGCGTTTCACTAGCTACGAGCAAGGCAGGACAGACTTAAACCTTCCGTTGCTCTCAGACCGCCGGCAGAAGCTGTGTCTCAAGTTCGGGACTCATTTAGAATCCCACACACCGTCAATGCTGCCACCAAAGGGTTCGGACTACCACGACAGAACAACCAGAAACAGAGACAAGTATCGACCAATTAAATGTAGGACTGAACGACTCAGGAACTCCCCAATAGCTTACATTGTTCGCCTTTTAAATACTTAATCAAATAGTTAATGTTTTTAAGGATTAAGCTTTTAATATACCGTCTGATAAACCTATTATTGTATAAATGCTAAATTTTATCCATCAACGTTATTTCTTTTTATACTTATATATAGGATAATTGACCCATTGTTTTATTGTCAATTGAGCCCTATGTGTAATCGGAATCCGCAATTCAGCCTGCGGGCTGCGATGGATTTTATGTCAATAAACCATTCATCATGTAATGGAATGAGTATATTTCATGTACGTATATGTTTAAAGTTTGATATACATGTACTGAACATTTTATCAGATAGCCCACCAGCTAACAATATTTAACGACAGCATCCATAGAGTAGGTTCCCGAGGAAGTTCGGCCAACTAGTATGTCGTATCCCCCATGTAGACCCTCTGTTTGTTTAAAATCTCGGATGTAGACAATCATGTTTACAAAACAGAGAATTTAAAGAAGCCCTTTCTCTCCAGCCAGAGTATGGATGACGTCAACTGAAAAGACTGAATTGTTGACGTAAAGGGAGTGTTAGTTGTCATATCATATTAGGTGTACGAGGTACTAGTACATACATGTATGGAACTAAAACCGTCTACATACTATTAGTAAAAGGTTGAACTTTATTCCAACACACAACACACAATAAAAAGTTAAACCTTTTACTATGATTACTACCAACACAGATGAACTTTCATGATAAAACCGTCTACATTTGTTACCCCAAACGTCTCACCTCAACATCACAACATTATTGCATTAACATAGTATGTATTTACAAGCTTTAAACGTGCACCAGACTTTCATAACGTAACAAAGCAATCGCTTCAGTCCAAACGAAAACACTCCGTTGAATACTGCACCACGTTGCTCTCATTATTTTTAGGACCTGAATAATTACAGTAATGTCTCGTTTGAAAAATTTTGACAAGGTTTAACCGCCAAATAATTACCGTTAAAGTTTCCGACGAATACACGACTGCGAGAACAGACCCGATTGAGTCGGTTTTTAGCGATATCTGACTGCTTTATCTTTCCACTCAAATGTATGATTTTGGTTCTCACCATTCCGGATGGTTCAAAAACTGTCCATAGACAAGTTTCTCTCTGACACAACATTTTCATTCCCCTCCCCTGGAGGACGAGAAAGTAACGCCCATTGTTATTCAACACGATGTGAGGTTTACCTAGCTTCGCCTACCCGGCAGCGTGTACGTGTAATGGAGATACCGGCTTGGGTCAGTGATACACACTGGGTAGGTGTGTCCGCGTGTAAACAGCTCGGCGATGCGATATATCCACATGTCTGCCATAATTGTGTCTGTAGGTCACCATAGCATGGGTGCCAGAGTATACAGTGCAATTTTACGGAATGCAATGCAATTTTACGGAATACAGTGCAATCGCATTAGTATACATGCAATTTTACGGAATACAGTGCAATTTTATTAGTACGATTGTACTGTATTCCGTACAATTGCACTGTATACTAGTAAAACTGCACTGTATTCCGAAAAATTGCACTGTATTCCGTAAAATTGCACTGTATTCCGTAAAATTGCACTGTATTCCGTAAAATTGCACTGTATACTCTGGCACTGCCCCTGCATAGGCCGACCTGCTTTGGACTAGTCTATAGCGGAAACTGAGGGGGGGGGTAATCATAATAAAAGAATTACGATAAGAAAACAGACGGGTAAGGAAGGTAAACTTCTATTGTTTTGTGTAGAGTAAATATTTAGTTTTCTCCCTTGCCTGACTCCTCTCACCCTGTCTTTTCTTACTACACTCTTCCCTTCACAACACTAGCGTCCATAAGATCGTTTAAGATTCCAGCTATACTAACGGGTTTGTTAACAGTACCCTACTCCTGTATTATGACAACTGCGCCCCTCTACACACCTACACGTAGACAATAACCAGGAGTGCATGCCATGCTCCATAACAAGCGTGTGAAGCGATGTCTGAATTCGACCTCTAAATTACGTCACATAACGTCCGGTCTACCACACACTGCTATGTGCTGTACCACATGTGAAGAGTGAAGCTCGGTCAAGTTTGCACGCCCGTACAGTGAAGTGGTCATGTTTGGACGACATCTTCGTGTCATCACCTAGGAAGTGAAAACACCGCCGTCACGCGTACGGTACACTTAGGCCTTTCTGTGTACCTCACGGTCATTTGTCACTTCCAACAAGTCGTGGCTTAGGCCACACCGACTCAATTTTATGGATGACATCCTCTGAAGACCCCCAAACTAGTGCGCGCGGGCGAATAAAATAAAAATCCAGCCAAAAATAAAAATGCTACTAAACCACAGGAATACAAAGGCAAAGCTGGTATTGTGAATTTGCGGCAGAACTGCGGCAGAATATAGCGACATATACGACAAGCCTGCACATGCTGTTTTTATTTGCGGATTTATGAATTGACACTGTACGTATGTACTGAGGTCTTGAGTCGTGGACCTTTGGTAGCCTGGGTGCCATTCTCCAGAGTTACCACCGGCTCCATACTGTCGCTATATAGCAAGCTACCATGGACTATCCAGGCCAGAGCCTCGGATGACGTGATCTTTTTTTGTTTGTTTTTGTGGAGAACAGACGAAAATCAATGCGAGCGCGGATGTCATCCACAAAATTTAGTCGGTGTGGCCTTACATGCTGACAGAAACAACATGCACGGTTGTGGTGTTGCACCATTGGAATTTCTCCTACTGTCTGCTACTCCGTCATGCATACTGTTTATCTGAAATTATGGCATGTCGGTGGATTCTAGATTTTAGCCATGCAAATATTTCTTCCTGATTTGGGGTAATAGTATATAGTAATATAAATATACTGTAATGCACTGTTATAGTAATATAAATAATCTACGAGATCACAAAATAAAAGCTTATATCAATTTACGGTCTTTGCATATGATGTTAATTTATTTACAACATACTAGATAGGCAACAATGCAGTGGTGTATATACATTTGGTAGATAACTTAAGATCGAACGTCTTGATATGTATCAAAATATCAAAACTTATTGTCTCTTCTGGACTATAATCGTTTCTGATAACAATATATTAAAAAACTGACAACCATCATTTCATTTACTTGATCACGTCGACGTCTACATGTTGATGATCATGTGGTACAAAAGATAATGCCTATGTTCAAACAAGCAACGTTTTAGCTAAACTCGATAGGGTGTTATGTACAAAAGTCTTTGAATATAAGAGTCTATATATAGCTACTCCTTGAGTAAAGACGGGGTGGTCGCGTTGTTCACATGCGCCCTCTTGCGGACGGCGAGTCTGAAGCTGTCCTCTCTGTCAACAATCCGGACAGAGCCTGTGGAGATAAGGTTTGTACTTAGATTAACTACACGCATGCTGAGGTAGATCATTGCAATATTTGAGGAAAAAGTCCAAAGCATCCAAGAAAAGTCATAAAGTATGGATATCCCAAATGAAGATTATTGGTTTAACAGAAGGAAAAAGTAGACACATGTGTGACTACAAAGTCGGATTATGAAAATTAGAACATAGAAGTACGGGTAGATCTAAAATCTAACAGATAAAAGCTACCTTTTGCGACAGAAAACTTACCAAATTATTCAATAAAAGTCATAAATAATAAAGTATGGATATCCCAAATGAAGATTATTGGTTTAACAGAAGGAAGGTGACACGTGTGTGACTGCAAATTCGGATTATGAGATTTAGAACATAGAAGTACGGGTAGACTTAAAATCTACCTTTTACGTCAGAATCATCATCAGGGCGGCGAAAAAATCGTCTGCTTTTGACGTCACCAGAACGTGCGGGCTTATGGACTGACGTCACTGGGTCACAGACAGCGTCAAAGTCTGCAAAAGTCATAGGTCAAATTGTCATCAAGGTCACTCACAGGTGTGTCAGACGATCACAAGATAGGTGATCTCGTGTTTATGTACACAATGACTGCTTGAGCACTGACGCAACATTCTACCTAACGGCTCACCCACCTAAATGAGACTATTCATTGGCCCTCCAGCTATTTTGGCACATTGACAATTCTCACAGTGTGTTTACTTGGTGCAGCTAGTTACGACAAGAAATGAGCTCACATAACATTACGAAATATAGGAAGTGTTAAGATATATCAAAATGTGTGAAATGGCACAGAAGTGGAGTGACGTATAACCTACAAAAGGTAGGGACTATGTCGGCAAATATACCACACACATGTCTAGCACCCAGTAGGAATCTTTCAGTAGCTGCGTGCCGAGGGAGCTGATTTCGAGCCAAATAATCGCCAAGATTACTAGTATTTGTGTATTTTAGAGATTTGTGTACGTAGAAAACAGTACTGTGTATTATTCCATATGCTCGTACATCTATAACTGCGTCAAGAAGCGAGAAGAAGTTGAACATATGAATAGTAGATCACCATGACCTGTACTTAGCTTGTTAGAGCACAAACATACAATAAAGGTCTTCATTCAATTCAATTATTAGATTTATCAGTCTAGTAGATTTTTTTCTAGCTTCAATATTTAGTTTACCTTCTATACTGTTACATCGTAGACTTCCATTGAGAGTGTATTTCTCCGTCGTGTCGACCCTGTGTCTGAAGGACGTCCGGAGGCGGTTATCTCTGTACCGGAGTATGCACGCACTCCGTTCTGTAAGGGAAAGGGGGAGTAGTGTATGTGTTATACACGATTCTAACAACACTGACAAACATTTTACACTTGTCGTGTGGCGTAGCGGCAGAGTGCTCGACTCGGAATCAAGAGGTCCCGGGTTCAAGTCCTGACATGCCACCGATCTTGTGCCCTTGGGAAAGGCACTTTACACGACTTTCCTCACTTCACTCAATTTAAAATGAGTATTGTACTGTCCCATGTGTTGGTGGCGGCATTAATAAAAGTTGGAAAAACTTGAGTGTGCCGTCACCACGTCTTGTGATTAGATGTTGGAATATAAAAAAAACGTTTTACACTGGATCTACGTATCTGAATAAATGTTGTCCCCATGACTGGATAATGTCTGGGGGGAAGTAAGAGAGGAAGGAAGGAATCAAAGAAAGCGGAAGGAAAGAAACCTAAAGTGGCCATGACAATAGAATAAATTAAAAAGCAGAAGATCTAGAAAGCAGAAGAAGAAATTATAGAAGTCATTTGAAATCATTTCAGTTCATGCGATGTTAAGATGATTCCATTTCAAGACAGTTTCTAAAATATAAACAAAATACCCACCTCCTGACACGTGTGCACTGTTGTGGGCCTGAGAGTTTCCCATATTTCTTTCAAACAAGCTGTGTGGAAAAAAGATACAACATTATTCATGATACTTCTGGCTTGCCGTATTCAATAAACTTGTAAAATCATCATTAGTTCATAGATATATAGAAGATATATATATAACGGATTAGAATTTCATTGAACCATTCATTCATCTTCAAGCTGTTTAAAATATCCCTGGAAATGATATCATAATTCGAAAAATATAAAATTGTATATAAAGAAAACACACTATTTTTGAAGACATAACTCACCTTAGTAAGGCTTAGTTAGAACAGTTGCGTTCACGATGAAAGGTCCAATAGTCTAAGACTATACACACGACAGAACAGGCACTTTCAGTAACAACGAAAAGGCTGTGTTGGCTGTATAGCTAGATCAATGTCTCAACTGGCTCAGGGGACAGAAAGCCCCCATTTATAACAACATACAGGGCGCTGGCGGATCTACGCAAGTATACGTACGGCCACTGACTCATATATGCATGGGCTCAAGGCCAGATGCGCAATGTTGTGGTGTGACGTCACTTGTACACCCCAAGGGCAGCACTCTTACCTGCACCAAAGCATGTACACGTAATGCGACACGCGTAAACAACTGAAACATGCATAGCATGTGCTTAAAGAACGAGTTATAGGATTACAGACGGAAGTAAGTGCATTGTTCAAGTTTGGGTCACCAGTACAGTTAACGTCAGACATATAACGCCTGTAACGCGTAAACAAAGATCAGGAAACGTCAGACCACTTCTCGGTCGGTTTGTTACCCTCCATGAAAATGGGGGTACTGTTTTTACTCCGTTTCATGTTTGGTCTGATATCTGAAGATCGG